CCCTGGTCTATGTCTATGCAGGACAATAACATTTTGAGGTTTTACAATTACTTCTGGAGGCAGAGTTGCAATGACATGCGCACTGTGTTGCCCTAGAAGCAATTGGACAGGGATACAGGGCCAACATTACCAGTAATCAAAGATGTACCCGTTACATTTAAATCGGATGTCTGGGCTAATTTCTGTTTTGGGATCCTGGATGTGAAAGAATCACTTAACACAGTATTTGTTTACTATTTTTAAGTTCAGTAATATTCTATCTTAAAGCTGCTCTACCGAAAACATTATTTCTTGAATTATTTAAGTATTTATAGGCAGCACACTTTAAATATTATTGCTCACTATAGTGAATAGATGAATGTTCTGTTTTTCAGGGATTTCGAAATAAAAAAGAAATTGAAAACTATTCTACTGCTTTTATTAAGTAATGAAAATTTTTGTGTGAAGAATCGTGATGCATTTCAGACTCAAATCGAATCGTTAGGCAGATAATCGGAATCGGATCGAATCGTGAGGCAGGTAGAGATGCACACCACTAAAAAACATTCTTGCGGACTGCTTTGTATGTGTGAGAGACATTCAGGCTGGCCTTACTCTGAACTACAGAAGTCCAGGATTAAGATAATAATCCAGATTTTCCTAAATCAAATCTTCACAAACAGCAAAATGTAAAACAAGCTAGGTTTTACACACAAGCACAGTCACAGACCACTCACCCCTCCCCTTGGGTCTCTGTTCCACATCCACCGGAACCGGAAACCTGCATTCCCACAGGAAACGAGATAGCGCTAAACACCAGTCACCGTTTTCTACATCCAAACGTTTTTGGTTGTCTGTGACATCAAATGGTGATTTTCTTTTTGCGACTCTGGTAGTTTGTCCTAAAGAAGAAGTGGTAGCAGCCGGCTGTTTCTCCTGCTCTGATGTTTATGAGCGGAGATCCTCTCAAACCCATGGTGTTCTGCTGCTTAATACGTGTGATGAGTGGAGGACCCAGGGAAGGGTGGCGTTTCAGTAAAACCGATGGTCCAATTAGGGATGTCTCCATCAGGTGTTTTTTCCCTTGAGTCCGAGTCATTTTGAAAACCTGCCGATACCGGGTCCTCATCCCATATTTTGGATACATAAAAAAGAATAAAGAAAGTGAAGAAACAGATCTAGAATGTTCCTTATTTTTTATTTAATTCACTTTATTTTAACATTTAACAACTCTGGTAGCAAACAGCTCTTCTGTGAGTTAGCTCAAACATCAGTAATAAATTACATAAATTCTTCACTTTTGAACTTTATTGCAAATATAAAAAAAGTCTAATAAAAAACAAACAGCACCCCAACTTACAGTACCTGGCAGGGGGCTATTTTGCTTTGGTCCCCAAAATGCCTTGATACGTCCCTGGGCGTGGGACTGAGTCTTAAAGGTGATCTGAATTCTACAGGGAGTGCAGAATTATTAGGCAAATGAGTATTTTGTCCACATCATCCTCTTCATGCATGTTGTCTTTCTCCAAGCTGTTTTGGCTCGAAAGCCTACTACCAATTAAGCATATTAGGTGATGTGCATCTCTGTAATGAGAAGGGGTGTGGTCTAATGACATCAACACCCTATATCAGGTGTGCATAATTATTAGGCAACTTCCTTTCCTTTGGCAAAATGGGTCAAAAGAAGGACTTGACAGGCTCAGGAAAGTCAAAAATAGTGAGATATCTTGCAGAGGGATGCAGCAGTCTTAAAATTGCAAAGCTTCTGAAGCGTGATCATCGAACAATCAAGCGTTTCATTCAAAATAGTCAACAGGGTCGCAAGAAGCGTGTAGACAAACCAAGGCGCAAAATAACTGCCCATGAACTGAGAAAAGTCAAGCGTGCAGCTGCCAAGATGCCACTTGCCACCAGTTTGGCCATATTTCAGAGCTGCAACATCACTGGAGTGCCCAAAAGCACAAGGTGTGCAATACTCAGAGACATGGCCAAGGTAAGAAAGGCTGAAAGATGACCACCACTGAACAAGACACACAAGCTGAAACGTCAAGACTGGGCCAAGAAATATCTCAAGACTGATTTTTCTAAGGTTTTATGGGCTGATGAAATGAGAGTAAGTCTTGACGGGCCAGATGGATTGGCCCGTGGCTGGATTGGTAAAGGGCAGAGAGCTCCAGTACAACTCAGACACCAGCAAGGTGGAGGTGGAGTACTGGTTTGGGCTGGTATCATCAAAGATGAGCTTGTGGGGCCTTTTCGGGTTGAGGATGGAGTCAAGCTCAACTCCTAGTCCTACTGCCAGTTTCTGGAAGACACCTTCATCAAGCAGTGGTACAGGAAGAAGTCTGCATCCTTCAAGAAAAACATGATTTTCATGCAGGACAATGCTCCATCACACGCGTCCAAGTACTCCACAGCGTGGCTGGCAAGAAAGGGTATAAAAGAAGAAAAACTAATGACATGGCCTCCTTGTTCACCTGATCTGAACCCCATTGAGAACCTGTGGTCCATCATCAAATGTGAGATTTACAAGGAGGGAAAACAGTACACCTCTCTGAACAGTGTCTGGGAGGCTGTGGTTGCTGCTGCACGCAATGTTGATGGTGAACAGATCAAAACACTGACAGAATCCATGGATGGCAGGCTTTTGAGTGTCCTTGCAAAGAAAGGTGCTATATTGGTCACTGATTTGTTTTTGTATTGTTTTTGAATGTCAGAAATGTATATTTGGGAATGTGGAGATGTTAAATTGGTTTCACTGGTAAAAATAAATAATTGAAATGGGTATTTATTTGTTTTTTGTTACGTTGCATAATAATTATGCACAGTAATAGTCACCTGCACGCACAGATATCCCCCTAAAATACTGTAAATTCATGTGTCCTTTTGCAACGAGGTGGAGTGACAGCGGGGACGACCAATCACATATTAGCCATGGGTGGGTGGGTCTAAAAGAAGACAGGCTTTAAGTTGAGTGGTTGTTCTTCACAGAGTAACTTTGGTTTGGGATGGTAAAAACTAATGGCAGACAGGCAAAGGGACCCCTCCCCCATCCCTGCAATGGTCATCTGGCTCCTGAGCTTAGCAGGGGTCCTGCTGTCAAGATTAAAGTGAGAAAAGTCTTTGTTTACATAGTCTGGTGTGAGCCCACAAAATCAGGTTACAACTGCTTCCTGCAGGTTCATCTGACCGTGCTGAAAATAAACTCTGTGTGAAGCCATCATAAACAGGACGTGTATTTAGTTTTGAGACTGAAAAGAAAAGGTCTAGTGTTTAAGCATCTTTAAAATGCAGAAACAACGACTAAAAAACGGAATTCAGCTGCCCTTCAACAAGATGCCAGAGGACCAGGATCAGAAAGGTGGATTAGCTCCTCAGATTATCAGCAACGGTCTGTGTACCTGCCAGCCAACAGATTTGTGTTTGCAGAAAGGAAACAGAAAATGAGGCTGAAGTTGGCCACTTACACGTGTCATTTCTGAGTCACCTTTAAAACACAACATGAATAAAAGTTTCTTATTAGATTTTAGGTTTCTGCATTATTCCACTTCAAAATGAAAGACGACCAATCAGACATTAGCAAAACACGGCAGAGCCAATCAATGAGCTTGTGGGCGGGTCTAAAAGGAAACCGGCTTCAAGTGGAGCGGCAGTTCTGTGTTATTTTGTTCTTAGGAAAATGTAGCGGCTCTAAGCCCCCCCCCCCCCGCCCCCCCCCACACACACACACACGTTTAACCTGTTGTTGTATAGTCTTCGTTTCATCCTGCGGTTGGAGTGTTTTTAGGGAACTGAACATCGACTAGTTGCACATCTCATCTAAAGGTGAAAAAAACCTTTGGTGACATCTTCAACAAGCCTGTAAAGAGGTTGGAAAACAAGCCTTCCCAGGGGCGCGCTCCAGCTCGCTAAGGTTTATAACACTGGGCTCAGACTCTTGTGTGTACTCCAGCCCCCTCCAGGCATTCAGCTGAGTGAAGTCTGTAGGCTCAGCTGAAAGATTTAATACTAAAACAGATTTAAAACTCTGTAAGAGGATAGGCTGAGATGGTTGGGACATGTCCAGAGGAGAGATGAGGATGACATCTCTCCTGAACAGACATTCCCCATCACGCGCTCTGCGCTCCTCTGACCAAGGCCTGCTCGCTGTCCCTCGGTCTAGGTGTCGTACCCGTGGGGACCGGGCTTTCTCAGTCCTAGCACCGTTACTCTGGAACCAGTTGCCACCCTCAGTTAGGCTGTCCCCTTCTCTGCCAGTCTTTAAGAATCACCTAAAAGCACACCTCCTCCGCTTGGCGTTTCCGGAACATGTTTGATTCTGGCCCTCTTTTATGTTGAATCCATTCCACAGTTTTCATTGGTACACTCAATCCATCCACTCAATCCAAATGTGTTTCACATATTTGTCCTTTACCGGACTGTTTCATCTATCTTGTAATTTCCATTTTGTACTTTGTAATTTGTATTTTGTAATTTGAATTTCTTTTATTGTTGATTTATTCAATATATTTACTTAACTGTACAATGTTCAGCGCTTTGAGCTTCCTGACAGGGTTGCGGAAGGCGCTTTATAAATAAAGCTTTGATTGATTGATTGATTGACATGGGCAGAAGGATGCTAAAGGTGGAACCACCAGGCAGGAGGCTGAGAGGAAGACCGACCAGGAGATTTATGGATGTGGTGAAAGTGGACATGAAGTTGAGGATGTAGAAGATAGGTCTGGGGCTGAACAGGGAGAGGGGTTGTCCTCTGATCTGAAGGTGAAAGGATCCATCCCTAGGCCCGCAGGCCGCCTGCAGAAGCATCCTTGGACCCTAAAAGTTGGCCCCTGGGTGCCCACAGACCGCATCTCCCTTCTCCTTACGGGTGGCTCAAATGCAGAGAACAATTTCCCCAAGGAGCTCAGTAAAGTGGAGACAGATGATTGGCTGTGGGGACACCTGGAAGGACAAGGCCGATGAGAACAATGAGATGATTATTACATTTCATTTCTCTAATACACTTTCTCTTTATTCCTCAGGAATTTGTTCCCGGCGAACTTGGTGGCTGCTGCTTTCCGTTCTGTGAGTGTCACCGTCCAACCTCACCACCCTCTCATTTATGTCTTTAGTAGACTGTCCCTTGTTTCTGGGCTAAACTGTTCATAAGAGTTTATTTCTCCAACCACACGATGCCACTCTGTGTTGCTTCACAGTAGCTGTAAAAATCAGCTGTAGCTCTGGAGAAGCTCTTCACATTCACCACGCAAACCGCTGCTTGGCACCTCTTCTCCTGTTCCCAACCAGCCGTTACCATGGCGAAACCATTCCATTCTCACTATCCTAGCAACCCATCGGGCTCCACCACTTCTGAACACAACCCCTTTCGTCCCATTCTTTCAGCTAGAGCTTAAACAGGCAGCAGGAAAACTCAAAAACAGGACACACGCACGCACGCACACACACACATGCACTCAGATGTTCTGGTCATTTACAGTCAATTTGCCTGTGAATCATGAACACACAGGGTGGTCAGGTACTTCTGCCAGAGAACCCTGGAGGTTCACAGTTCATAGGGTTCAATCTCTCTCTCTCACAGAAACACACACACACACACTCTCTATCTCTAAAGTGAAGCATGGCCCCATGTGGAGTGAGTCCAAATGTGGATTAAACCAAGAATTCAGCAGAGAAGAGATTCAGACAAACCAACAGGCAGCCAGGTTAAGCAGACAGGCCGCTGACCGACACGTCCACGTACATCAGTTGCACCTGTAGTGTACCAGACTGGGTGCCTGTAGGGTACAGGACTGAACCGTACTCACTGTGACAAACTGTGTCCCACAAAAATAGATGTGCACGCACCCTGAACTACCTCCCAGACAGTTAAAGAGCAAGTTCACTGAGAAACCGTTTCACTTCTTCATTCCCAAATGTGATCGCACCGTGCAGGCTGAAAATGAAGATAGTCTCCTATCCCTGTTTCCTGCATCAGCTTACGATAGAAACTAGATGGTGAAGCGCTTGAGTCAGAAAGCCTGACTGGACAAAAAATATAAACACAAAACTTTTTTGCTCCTGTTTTTCATGAGCTGACCCCAAAGATCTGAAACATTTTCTACATACACAGGTTTGACCCTCAGGTTTGTACACAGATCTGTCCAAATCTGTGAGTGAGCACTTCTTCTCCTTGGTCGACATCATCCACCTCACCTCACAGGTGGGGCATACCAAGGAGCAGATTAGACAGCATGAACAGTGCACAGGCCAGAGGCACACAGGGCGGAGTTTACGCTGCAGGTAGCTAGCACAAAGACAAGCTTTTCAGTCCACCGACCCTCAACAACGGGTGCAAGAGGAAGTTTGCCTCTTTGTTGGCATCATGGTGGAACCTCGAAGGAGAGCCCTAACGCCTCCTTGGGGTGCATTAGATTTGCAGATATGGTCTACTCACACATTTGTTTCCAGCTTGAACTGAACATGAAAAAGTTCTGCCATTTAAATAACAACTGTCTGGTTTTATGGACGTTGCAGTATGCCACAGACTACAAGATGGTTGCTGCAGGGAACGACACCAACGGGACAACTATTTACCAAAAGGTGAGCATATCTGAACTACCAGATTCATATATACGTCATAAAGCATCGTGTAGGCCTACATGTAGGACACACCTTGTCTCATCTCCTCCTGTCATCCTCACCCACTTATCTGGGTTTGGGTCAAGGGGGCAGCAGCCCTAAAAGAGAAGCCTGAACCTTTCTCCCCCCAGCAACCTCCACCAGCTGCTCCAGAGGGATCCCAACATGTTCTCTGGCAAATCTGAAGAAATAAGGGTGCCATGGGTTGACCACACTTTGGTTGATTGATCGCTGCAGTTCATCTCCGTCCTCAGTCTCCATCAAAGTTATTAAAAAGAAAAAACGAGTTGAGTTTACGTCCTTGTCTCTTAGTGCAGCCAAGCACACAGCAAGCTAAAACCATTTTACTGTCAAATCAACTAAATAAAAGGAGAGGGTGCTCGCTGCAGACCTACAAAGGCGGAGCTGCACCAGAGTCAGCCCCGCCCATTCACGCAAACTCAGCCTAGCCCACTGACTTCCGTTTTTGTTTTTCAACTTTATCGCAAACTAACCTGACTCTCATGAATTACGGCTGTTACTAGTTTACAGTCGTTAATGCTATGTTCTGTGCTCCAATTAAACAAGGTAAATATAACTTGCTACATGACAAAGTCTGAATATATCCCGAAATGAAAAGGTTTCTTTTAGCGAAGATCTGCCCATAGCCGCTCTAACAAAAGTCCTGTACAACAACATTTGACAGCATCCTGTGGGTTCTGGTAGTCCAGTGGCAAGATCGTTTGACTTAAGTTTTGCTTTCCCCTCAGCTGATGCTGGTTCGGTTCTCGGTGGGGTCGGCAACAATCTATTTAGCCAGCTGAAACATTTAATTTGTTCATATTTTAGTTGTAATGTTCATTTTCAGCAAAATATTTATGTCTCTACAAGTTCTTTGAATTTGGTCGTTCCTAAACAGCATTTTAGTTGAAACTCTGCTCACAAATGGACTCACACTGGCTAAATAAACGAATGAATAAATAAAAAACACATTAGTCATTATATGTTAAACGGCATACCAATAAATTGTTGTAAACATAGTACTGGCAAGTGTAGCTAGAAATGAGGAAAAGTGGTTATAGAATATTTCCACTACTGGGAGGCGAACCTGCGCAAAACTGCATTTCAACCAGACACTATAACCACTACACCACCACATCTTATAGAACTTGAGTGGCGTTACATGTTATTCTTCTATCCAGTGTGTCTTTGTAGACTGGGTGTATGATTTTTCTGGCGGTGTCTCAGTAGAAGTCATTTCAGAAATAATTTGTCAGAAAATTCACAGAATATCCAGATTTGAGAACCAAGACCAGACCCGCTTCGGGGGAGGAGACCAAATTGAAGCTGAGATGGGAAGAAAATGCATGAATGAGGCCAAAAATGGCTTTGGCGTGTTTCTTATGAGGAAATGACAATATAACATGATTAAAAGTTCCCAAAGTTAGATTTTTAATTATATGGAACCTTTACAAAAACTGTTCAATTCACTTCTGAATTCCGTCCTCAATCTTGCATTTTTTAGCTATAACACCCTCTTTGGTTCCAGAATGCTATAAAGTCTGACAACTGGAAGGAATTGGACTGACTCTGATAGAATGGGCGGGGCTGATTCTGGAATGGGCGGGGCTGACTCTGGTGCAGCTCGACCTTCTGGTGCAGCTCCGCCTTTGTGGTTCTGCAGCGAGCACCACTTGAATAAAAGCGATAAAAGGCTACAAACTGGCTTGTTTTGACAACTTTCACTGGAGTTTCTAGAGGTGTAAACGGCCTTTTTGCCGTCCATCATGGCGAAGGGGGCGGTCACATGAGTGGCGTGACGTCACGTGCAAAGGGTCAGTAGGAGGAAAATGCTAGGAGGAGGGAAGTTGACAAGGAAAAAGTGATGACTCAGTCCTCAGACGTCAGCATAATGTGACAGCAGTGAGTGATGTCACTGATCTGCAGCAACAGGTGTCCATGAACATTGATAACATTAAAAAAGTTTTATTCTGTCAAAGTACGCTGTAATGTACCCACTCAGGGTCCGGGGAGAGGGGCTGCGTGCTACGTTGAATGACCAGGAGAAAGGCTGGTTTTTATGGCGCTTGATTGGAGACCACCAAGCACCGTAAATAATGGCACTGTGCATGGCTTACTGCTGCGATTTCATGGATATTTTAAAGCAGCATCGAGGCTGCTCGTTTTTTTTCTTCCATCCTGCTCCATCAGCAACATTTCCAACTTTTATACGCAACATTAGACGATGTCCTTTCCTCCCAAGTCAAAAACAATCAGCATGACTTCCTTAACCGCAAGTCACTTTCAGCTACTCTACTGGGCCTCATGAAAAGTGGGTGGGCCCAATAAATGTAATATATATATATATATATATATATATATATATATATATATATTATATGTGTGTGTGTATATATATTTCTAAATGGTGAGAGATAAATCTGACACTTGTCCATCATTTTGACAGATTGCAGTTCACACCTTGACTCAGGAGCAGGAGGAAGGTGACTGCACATGCTGGCCACAGGTTTAGATGTTCCCGCGTTAAGGGGACTGGTTAAATGGCATGGTTTATACGTTACAGAAGCACTCGAAATGTTCGTTTAAAATGAAATTAAAAGAGAATCTGATGACGTTGAATGTTTAATAATTATTATTTCAAAATGAAAGTGATAGAAGAAAGTCCGCCCTGTTGCCCTGTTGAATGTCTAGCACAAACTCTGAAGTATAGATATACATACATATAGACACATATTTCTACATGTCTGTAATATCTATGATTGATCCTGTAGTAGTTACGACAGCCTGAAAGGGCTCCCCTCAAAAATATAATAAATGTACTTTTGAGTAAGGATTGTAGCCATAGAAATACTACTTTGTATACATGTTGTGTGTGTGTGTGTGCGTGTGTGTGTGTGCGCGCGTGTGTGTGTGTATATGTGTGTGCGTGTGTGTGTGTGTGTGTGTGTGCGTGTGTGTGTGTGTGTATCAGTGTGTGTGTGTCTGCTCTGTCTTCTCCATCCCCAGTGAGTCGTGGTGGATGGCTGCTTATACTGAGCCAGGATCATCTGGTCATATTTTTGCTCACATGGACAGTAACTCATTGTTTGATGTGTTTCAGTCTACTTTCAGACCACACCATTGTACTGAATCAGCCCTGATTAGGGTGCTAAATGATATCCGGGTGGCATAAGACTCTGGGACTATGGTATTACTGCTCTTGCTAGACCTTTCGGCAGCTTTTGGTACTGTGGACCACCATATTCTGCTGGACCGTCTTGAGTCTTGGGTTGGGGTAAAGGGGGTTGCACTTGAACGGTTTCGCTCCTATTTATCCAACAGATCTGTTACTGTTCAGATTGGAGATTGTTCCTCCTTCTCTCTCCCTCTGCCTTGGGGTATGCCTCAGGTCTCTGTTCTGGGGCCTCTCCTTTTCTCTATATATCTCCTACCACTGGGCAAAATCCTAAATCGGCACAGTCTTAATTATCACATCTATGCTGACAATTGTCAAATATACAGTACATGGCTCTAAAAAATGGAAATGTGGACTCGTCTTGTGGCATGTCTGGCAGATGTAAAGGGCTGGCTAGCGGCCAATTTCCTCAGGCCGAATGATTTAAAGACTGAGTCCATTGTCTTTGATACCCGCAATTCTTCTGGCTCTCATTCCACTTTTGATGGTATGAACCCTAAGCAGTGTGTAATAAGCCTCGGGGTAAAAATGGATGCTAACCTCTCAATGACTCCTCAGATCAACTCAGTGGTGAGGTCTTGTTTTTTATCAGTTACGCCGCCTATCTCGTTTAAGGCTGATCTTAAAGAGGAAGCACTTGGAATCAGTCATCCACGCTTTCGTCACCTCGCTTGGACTACGCTAATGCATTATTAGTTGGAACTTCTGTTTCTGCTCTGAACCGGTTGCAGGTTGTCCAAAATGCCGCTGCTAGGTTTTTAACAAACACAAGTCGACATAGCCATATTACACCAGTCCTGAAACGTCTTCACTGGCTCCCCATCACATTTCGTGTGCGTTTTAAGATATTGATGTTTGTTTTTAAAGCCCTACACAACCTAGCTCCTTATCTGTCCAACCGGCTGACTCCCTATGTACCTACTCGTATGTTGAGGTCAGCTGACCGTCTACTGCATTGCGTTCCCCGGATGGCCTACAAATCACGAGGTGAATGTGCGTTTGTCCATGCTGCCCCCATGCTCTGGAACTCATTGCCCATTACAGTTAGGCTGGCATCCTCTCTGTCTGTTTTTAAATCTCGTTTAAAAACCTACTTTTATGACTTTTTAGACAGTGATTCAATGTTATCATATTAGGGCAGCAGTAGCTCAACAGGTTGAGCGGGTTGTCCAGTAATCGGAAGGTTGCAGGTTCAATCCCGGCTCCGGGTAGAGAATTCTGCTGTTGTGTCCTTGAGCAAGACACTTAACCCACCTTGCCTGCTGGTGGTGGTCGGAGGGACCGGTGGCGCCTGTGCTCGGCAGCCTCGCCTCTGTCAGTGTGCCCCAGGGCAGCTGTGGCTACATCGTAGCTCATCACCATCAGTGTGTGAATGTGTGTGTGAATGGATGAATGATACACTGTAGTGTAAAGCGCTTTGGAGTCCTTACTCTGAGAGGCGCTATACAAGTGCGGGTCATTTATATTATGATTTTATAGTTTTTATTGTGTGTTGTGTTGTGTGTTGTGAGACAACTCTGGTTGTGATTTGGCACTGTATAAACTGAATTGATTGGGTGGGCCCAGGCCCATCAACGGCCACGCCCCTGAATGACAATCAGTTCAAACTGCATGAGGCTCTACGTAGAAGCAGTGGTCCTCAATAGATAGCCCTCTGGCTCCTGGACCTTTACAATGTTAACAAGAGGACCACTACCAAGCTGTCATAGTGTCAGCTCCACTTATTCTAACAGGAACTTCTTCATGTGGCCCTTGGCCACTTGTAAGGACCTCTGCTCTACAGGTT